CATCACACTTCAGGTGAGGATCTGAACTGGGCCTGAGGAGGAGGAGCTGCCCCAGAGCTGGGTGAGAAGAGAGGAAGAGCTGAGGATGAGGAGCAGATCCCACCTTTGGGATGGAGCCACAGCTGGGCACGACACAAAGACTCTGCTGGGACAGCATCTCCTGAGCCTCTTCCTGCTTTGCTGGGCTGGGTGAAGCCAAAAGGAAGAGCAGAGGCTTCCGTGGGGATGCCAAGGCTCTAAAAAACTCCCGGAGCTGTGGCCAGGCACAGGGAGAGCCCAGCACTGCCCAAGAGTCCAGATGTTCCCAGCATCTGCAGGCTCTGCCAGCACCACTGCCAGACTCTCCTTCCCTCAGAAAAGAGGGAAAGGAACCGAAGGGATCAGGAATTCTGAACAGGGGAAACATCAGAGCAGCGACAGAAACATTCAGTGACAGGCAGGTGCTGAGCTGAGAACCATTCAGAAAACCAGGATGAGAGGCTTCAGTCACATTGCTCACATGGAATGGCCCCAGTTCAGTGCACAGGAGCCAATCATTGCCCCATGAGATGTAACAGACTGGAAATACAAATTTTCAAAATTTCCAGAGGGGCAACAAAAAAAAAAAAAAGAAAAATTTGATCTTTGAGATAGCCCAAAGCAAGACCTGGAAGGTTTCTGCATGACTCAGAGGCCAATTTTACCAAGTTAGAGAGAACAAGTGGAATATTTGCCTACCCAGAGCTTTGATCACTCACTGCTCCTATGGACTGGCAGAGAGCTCAGTAATCCTTAAACACAAAGTGTAATCAAAAACAAAGTGAAATAGTCCCTACAAGACTTTCAATTTTACAGCAGTGATCTGGCCCACTAAGTGTTAATTCAGAGATACCTTGAGAAACATCAATAAAATTTTAGCAATTTTGAATCAAGATGTAATTTTTGCAGCTAAAAGCTGTCTCCAATCATAATCCTCATAAATATTCATGTGATCAATGTTCTTTTATTTCTCTGCCCATTTAAGATTCTGATCTCTCTCCTGGGATCCACTGCCTGCTAGGATGAATTCCACAGAAGAAATCTAAAAACTCTGATATTCTATAGGGATGGGATTGCTCAGGTGATTTTATTCAGCACATTTCAATATTAGATGAGCAAGATTATTGTGTTCACCCTTATGCTATGTCCAAAAATGCATGTTTTAATTAAGGTAGCTGATTAAAAACATAGCTTATTTCCAAATTTCAGAAACACATTTATCATCTTCCATTACCCAAAAAATAAATAAATATAAGAAACGAAATTCCTATCAGATGGAGTTTTGATAATTCTTAGACAAACATTTTTTAATGAACTTATATAGCTCTTTTTACATGTTGCAACATTTTCCCATGTAAAACGACAGCCAAACCTCTCTGTTCACAGCACAGTGACAAAACCCTGCCAGGATATTTAGGTGCAGCAGCCAATGGCCAGGAGAGAGCTGGGCCAAGTGAGGAGGCTGTGGACAGAACACCAAACACAAACATAAGAAAATGGGAATATGGGAAAAATCTGTAGAAAATGGTGTTGCTCCACCAAATAGAAAAAAAAAAAAAACAACCCAAACCCACAGCATTACTTTTTTTTTCATGGCTCTGGTTTATGGGTTTGAATGACAGTGGAAAAGAATATTGGGAAAAATCAGGAGTAGCCTATAACTCTGAGTGGGTATTCCCACCTTTGGAGATTGTTAAAGAACAAGTTAGATCATCTTAAAATGAGACCAAGAAATGGATGAGACAATTTTTACAGCCCATCAAGACATTCAGGTGCCTCTGCCTAAACAGATTTCGTAGTCCATAATAGAATTATCTGGACTGTGAGGAGCAGGGGGGGTGGAGTAAGGCCAGCACAGGATTGTTTCCCCAGCCCCTCTGATTTTACTCCCTGGGCAGTGTGGCCAAGTGGTTTTCTCTGCCTCAGAGGTTGGTTTGGAGCTGACAGCAGTGAAGTGACTGACTGCAACTGCAGGGCTCATGGCTCAGGGCTGTTTCTCCAGCATTACACTACTGGAATATATCATAGACCATGAAAATAATTCATTTTATCTTATCCAAGTCAATCTGTAACTCACTTTTATCCCTTCACCAGCTAGATAATTGGTTCTGGAAGTGCTTCCAAAAACCCATTTCATATCTTGGCCCATGCTCTGATAAAATCCAGATGAATCCCAGCTCCTTCTCAACCCCTTGACTCGTGGGGAAGGAGGAGAGCAGGGGAGCAGATGCTCAGCAGGGCCAGGTGATGCCCAGGCCCCCAGGGCATCATCTGAGCCCCAGTGAGCTCCAGGGCCCCCCTGGTGCCCTCCAGGTCACAGCCTGGCACCCACAGGGACCTTCCCGAGCTGCTGTCACCTCCAGTGGGTCACTGGCTAAATGCCCTGCATGCTGAGAGACTCCCTTGTGATAAACTCACCTGGAATTACCTGCGTTTGGGTTTCGTTTTCCAATTTTTTATGTTTTTTTTTTTTTTTAATTTAAGTATTTACTGGAAAACAAAGAAAGAGGAGAAATAATATTGCATTACAGACTATTAGCAAGACAGCTATAGCAAACAGCAGAGCAAAACAAGTTTATGTAGAAATAACTTTCCTTATAAGAAACTTCACATGACGCACAGCAAAGTGAAAAAGTTGGTTGGTTGGAACTCTGATTTCATTTTCTCCTGTAAAGAAAAAATGAGTTCATTGAAATTTCTGACTTTATTATTTCTTTATTACTCTCATATGGCACAAATTCTCCGGTCTTTTAAGAAGAAAAAACATTAATTTATAATTCCAAAATCTTATTAACTTGTCCCCACGTTTGCAAAGACTACAGGGATCTTCTCAAATTTTCTGAGGTCTCGTGAGCATGCAATGGTAAAACTACAAAAACCAGATGTTCACTATGGCACACGATATTCTGATGAAAAGATTACACATTCATTCTCAAAACACTTCACAGATGAAGGTTTGTGAAAAGAAAAATCCAGCTAAGAGATTTGATATCTGGATACTGCATTTCCTGAAAAGCTACCGAGGGATTTTTTTTTTCCCCAGTCATAAGAAATCACCAATATAAAATATCCTTTTTTAAAAACACGTAATTTAAATTAGAAATCATTTTAAGCTGTTGGATTCTCTGTTTTTATTCAAGGGGCACTGAGGCAATAAAGATGAATTACTGATTACTGGGGCTGAATTATCAAGAATGAAGCTGAGGGGACTTTCCTTCTGCACAGGTAATATTAATTGTTGGCAGTTAATGGCAGAATTATAGGTTCATTTTGGTTTTATATAAAACTTTATTCAATTAATTGAACCACGTGCACCGTGTCATAATGGGAAACATCAATAAACTCTAAGGGAAATTTCATTTCATTTCTGCTCTGGAGGTTGCTGTAAGAGCTTGTGCAATTCAGCTCAGATCCAGCTGCACTGCACTTGGCTGCATTGCCTGGCTTTGTTAATCTTAGGGACAAGAGACCTTTACCCACTGACATTTCATGGACTCTTTGTACTCCTTCAGATGCAAAGGAAGTAAAATTATAGAGGTGATTCCACCACTTATTTTTGTCTGTATCACAACACTCGGGCAGAAAGGGTTGACAGAACTGGTTTTAACTCGACCTGTCCCAGGTTTAGCTCATCTGGGCTCACTCCAGTAGTTGAACAAGAGCAACTCTGCAACCAATGAGGAATAAGCATTGGAATTCCTTTTTAACACCTCTCTGAGCCGTTTGGTTCAGCTGCCTGCCTGCAAAAGGCACGATGCACAGAACAGCTCAAAGCAGGCTGCTCTGGGGAAAGCCTTGAACCTCCCAGGACTGATGGAGCTCTGATATGAAATACAGCACATTCAGAAGCTGTGAAAGAGCTGAGGCTGCTGAAAGAAATGTTCGTGGTGACAATAAAAACCAGTTCAAGCCAATTTGTAACACTCAGAAATTCTTTCAAAAGGAGAGGCCAGTGAATTTGATTTGTGACCGTGTCCTGGGGAAACACTGAGCTCATTGGGGGCTGACACATTCCACTGTGACCATCACAGCACCGACTCCAGATCATCACATGCAACTTCTGGGCAATGTTTTCAGATGCACTTTATCTGAATTTGCTACAGATTATGTAAGTGAAACAAAAATAAGTGTTGATTTCCTGTAAGAACAGCAAAATGAAAGGTTTTCTTCATAAGCAGACAGATCAGATTTTGAGGATAGAAATTATTTCAACTCTATTCATTTACTCTGTTGGCCAAACTCTTCCTCCCCACCCAGCCAAGGACTCATGCCAAGCTCTGGATAAATCACTGGCAGCCATTTCCATGACATGGTTGGCTTGCAAAGGCTTGGGAGGAATTCCAGCACTGAGAATTCAGCTGCAGGTGGAGGAGCACGATCTGGAATAAGCAATGGCATCTCCACACGCTGGCATTTGCAGTCTCTTGTTCTGGCTCACAAAAACTCGTGCAATCATAAGCACTCGGTGTAACACTCCATCACTGCAGGCACAGCAATGTGACTGAAGCTATTGCCTTGACTTTGCAGAAAATCCTCAGAAGTGGCAAGCCCTTAATCAATTCATATTTTGTTCAGTTGGTGTCAGCATTCCTCAATAGACTGAAAAAGGTGCTCCAGTTCCATCTCCTGATGATCAGCTGAGAATGGCTCCAAAACCACAAAAAGATGCTTAGCTCTAATCAGCAGGACCCTCTGTTCATTGTGATGGATGAAGGTGGAGCTGGACAGCAGTTGCTCAATATTTTGGAATGTCTCTGTATGCTGGCAAATCTGTCTCTTCGGATCCTCTTTGCTACAGGCAGCAAGGCATTTGAATTCCTGCTGACTTTCCTAAAGCAGTTTTTGCTGTAGTGGTTAAAGAGGGGAAGGCTCCCTTCCCTCCATCTGCTTCCACTCTCACCAGTCCAACCCCAATACAACGTGTTCGACCTTTTCTGCAGGATTGCACTGCTGATTCCTGCCCACTTTGTTATCCGTGGAGGTTTTTGTTTTGGTTTGTTTTTGGCAAAGCTCCATTGGCCTCCAACCTGGACAGCTGTGTGGAGCTTTTCTCTCTAGATGAAGTTTTAAATCGATATAATCTTTGTTTCTCATGTCCTGCACCGTGGTATTAAGCTCCTCATGTTCTGGTATGCTGGCAGATGAAAATCCTGTTTCCAGGTTTGAAAGGCAGCATTCATCTTTCTTTGTGTGTCATCTTTATACATATTCAGGCTGATTCTGTCACTGGGCCCCTTCCTCTGCAAACATAAACAGCAGAGAATTGATTTAGAAAAGAGATGACACTGAAATGCTTTGTCTTGATTTTAGCCTCAAAGCACTTCAGTTAAAATGCTTAGCAACACAGCACATCTCAGCAAAAAAAGGAATGACGCTCCCTAATTTTCATTTGTGAAATTGAAAACTCTGGACAGTGAAAAATGGTGTAGGCAATAAAGGAGCCTTCATCGAGATGATGATTTTGTTCCTAAGCACAGCAGGCCCACAGTGACAGATAATGGCACACATATTGGCTTTATGGCTGCTTTTTGTCTGGGATTTCCTGTTTTGTTAGCTCCATGATAAAATGAGTGTCCTCATGGTTAAGACTCCCACAGCCCTGGCTAACGTGAGGGACACTCTTAGCACGTGCCCCTGGATGCAGGGTGTGCTGCATTTCCTGGGATATTTTTTCTCTTATATTTATCTATGTACACAAAGAGCAGGATGGGAATGCTGGAGCAGCTCTCTTGACTCTTTATTCCATCACACCCATCACTCTCATTTTACAGAGCCAAGCAGGGGAGATGGAGCAGCTTCAGTTCTCTTCAAGTTCTCTTTGTCACAAACTCTTTTAACAACTTTCTAACCAATAGCAGAATGTTAAAAGCTGACAAGTGTTTGCTCAGGCCAATTAATAAAGCTGCATGTAGATCTTGCTGTGAACAATGCTTGCTTGTAATAGCTTAAAACAATGGATAAATCTTCATTATTAAACTTACAGATTTCTATTATCTTGCTTAACACATTTTCCTAAGCCTATCTCTGCACAGCTCACAGCCCTGCTGTTTCTTGTCCTTCAGCATTCCTGCATTTCTCCATCCTGAGATGCTTTCACACAGCTTGCTGAGAGTTTTACACCTTTTCTGTTTCCCACACTGAAGGCTTCCCAAGCCCTGGCTCAAACAAGCTGGGCTTTCACAGAGCAGCAGTTCTGTTCCACACCAAACCCTCCGAGGTGAGAGCCAACACGCAGAGGTGATCTCTCTGCAAAGCAGAAAATGTTTGCAACAGGGCAAAAAGCTACTCTGGATCAAACCCCACTGTCCTGGGGCTTGTAGCTCCTCACCAAAGCCCAGAATCCCAGGTGGAGGAGGAGCTGCACAACCTAAAACACAAAGTGACTTGGTAGAAGAAGATCTAAGCCCAAAAATCAGGGTTTGCCATGAAGGTTTGTCTCAATGGGAGAGGTCAGGGAGGAAAAAACTTGCCAGGTTGCTTCCCACCATCTCTAGCAGTGAGATTGTTGGGACAGAAATCAGCAGCAAGGACCTGTCCTTGATTAATCTCTACAGGGAAATGTAATGGCTACAGTGGAAGTTTATAGTGTGGAAAAGAAACCACCTGTGTTTGTGTCTAGACAAATAGAAATACCTTAGGGGTTTTGTTTATTTTTGTTTTCCTGAATTGTAGAGGATTAAGAAGGACTGTTTTCATGTCATTTTGGAAATAGCAAATCTTGTCAGATCTTATCTGGACTGCTGGCAAAATCTATAATGCTTATTGTGCTTAATGTGTAACTTAAGAACTTAAAAAGGGGTACAAGTGTTTGGAAACTAATGCTAATCTAATACTAAAGTAAAATTGAGTTAACATTGAAGAATTTTCAAGTCTCACTAACGCCTCAGTCCTTAAAATGTCTTTCAAATTAGAAGAACTTTAACTGCACTATGAAGCAAAATGCCCAGGAATTGGCTTCTACAATAAGAAAAGTAATTTTAAACTTTTAAGGGAAAATACTGAGGCCTAGAAATGACACAGCAAAGAAATTATGTTATCCATGACAGGAAGAGCAATCCAAGAGAAGACCCTCGGTACAGTTTATAACCATGACTAAAATAAGCACAAGAAATGGAACATGAGAGACATAATGGTTCTTTTCCTGCTCTAAATCCTGCTAGAACACATTGATTGTTTCTGCTTAACCTATGGGAACACAACTGTGCTGTTCCTTTCCCTTGTACATAAGGTAACAAAATTGATGTGACAGACTAAAGTACAATTCACCAGAACTCATTTCCAACTAAGAGTTACAATCTTTACAGCAACTAACATTTTTATTTCACCTGTTTGCCATGAAACATGGCTTCAGCACTTTCATTACAGTATCCTACATATTCCCTCTCTGTAGCAGTGATAATCATGAAAGCTGGATCCTGTTTTCTTAGGATCATGCAGCAGAGGCCAGGGGACAGGCAGCAGTCAGAGCCCAAAGCAAAACCCCACACTGGGTCATGTGTTCTTTGATATAAATTGGGATTTATACTGCTCAGGGATCTCATCAATACAAGACAAATAAAACCAAGTAGCTGTGACTGGCCAAACCCAGGGCTCCAGTTCCTCCAGACTGTTCAGATTCCAGTCCCTGAATCACAAACCAGATCCTTGGGCTGGCCCTGGCCCCTGTGCAAACAACGTGCAGGCTCCTCTTCCCACGAGCTTCAGCTTTTGCCAAAACCTTTAGGGAACAGTGTGTCACTTTCTGGAGACTGAGATGAGGGATGAAACTGCCACAAATGAGCAGCTCCAGAGGAGCACTGTCCCTGGAGAAGATGAGCCAAGGAGCCACACTCCATTTGGGATGAGAATTCCATCACGACATTTCCCGAGTTCTTTGACTCCCACAAAGCAGAATCTGTGTCTGGCCCTGAGCTGCTCACTGGCCCTGAGCTGCTCACTGGCCCTGAGCTGCTCACTAAATCCCCATTCTGACCCCTTCAATGCAGTGCTGCCCACTGATCCTACCTTCACACAACATTTATGGTCTCTGGTGAAACTATGGGAACACAACCGTGCTGTTTCTTCCCCTTCTACACAAGGTAAGAAAAAAGGAGGATGGCAAAAAGAGTCAGAAATGTGTTCTGGCTATAAATAGACTCCTTAATTGCTTAGCACGCTTCAATTATTTCATTGCACAATTACAGCTGTCAGTTCCTCAATGCAAAGAGCCTTTCTTAACTGCTAATCCAGAACTGGGATTTAAACAACGCAGCATCAGGAATTTCTGCGTGCAGCAAAACACAACCAATTATAATCAACACTGGTGAATTCTAATTTGACATTAGACATAATTAACTCCATGAGAAATTACCCCTATAATAACATTCAACAGGAAGCAAAGGCATCTTCAGAGACTCGTGCTCCCTGTTAGGTGTAGTCACAAAGTTCCTGTTGGCTCCCTGATTAAATACCTGACACAGAGGAATTTTGGGTAGCCCAGGCATCTGTGGTACTAAATTCTTCCAAGCAAAAGACTTTTTCTATCATCCTCTGCTGCTGCAGAGCCTAAGAGGATCCAGAAGATTCCTAGAATACTAGGGAAGACTGAAGAGAGCCTGTGGCAGAAAATAAATCTTTATTTTGGACTCCTCAGTCCTTGACATGAAAGAGGAAGGTGAATTCAAGTATGCTCTTGAAGTTCTGGCAAACTTGCAGCTTAACATCAGGAACTGAATGTTCTCTTCAGTTTTGAGAATTCATCTCCAATTTTAAGGCCATCTCCTGTCTTGCTTTACTTCTGACAGAATGGTTTAATCCTGGTTCTGTCTGCCTGAGGACATGGTCACTCAGAGGCTGCTTGTCACAGCAGCTGAAATGGCAGCTTCTCAGCCTGGGCTGCTGAATGGGGAGATCGATTTTGTGGAGCAAATAGTCCCTCTTGTATCCAGGTCCTCTCCCTGCTGTAATCTTAGCTATCCTTGCTAGAGCAACATTAGTTTCGAGGTCTTATTTTAGGTGAAAAATGTGGCATGAAATAGGAACTGTCCAATGGGCTTGTTCTGATCAGCTCAGCAATTGAACAGCTCAACTTTCATTCAGCTCTGGAAGGTCAGACAAGCCCAGTCAAAGCCAAAGGGTCTTGTTGTGCCTGGTGGGTTGTGCCTGGTCAGGCAGAAGCAGAACAAGATGGAGAATTGCATTAGACAAGGCAGCAGGGAGGGGAGGAGGAGGATGCAGCAGCAGTGCTGAGTCCTGGGGTTGTGCCAGATTGCACAACTGGCCCTGCTTCAAAGAGCTGAGTGGGACACAGAAAATCACTCCCATGTGGCAGCTCTGGTGACAGTGGCTCTCAGTGACACAGAGAAATCTTCCTGAATTTCATTACATACACACTGGAATTGTTGGCATCCTCCACTTCTGTGCACCATGGAATTTCTTCATGTATTCCACATATACACCATGGTATCTCTTCACTTACATTCTATAGCTTGAAAAATATTATCAGAAACCTTCAGGATGAAATCCTGGGCCCAGTGAGGTTAATTAGAGTTTGGCCATTTGGTACAGGAGAGCCAGAGTTCATATTTATAATCTTCTCATTTTCTGTTATCGTGCATTCTTTTTCAAACTTTGCTTTTTCCATTTAGAAAGAGCTCTTAGGATAACAAAGCAAACATCCCGTGGATAGAGAAACCTGACAAGGAATGAGCCTCTTGTGCTAAAAGCAATCCAAACCACTAAATTTTTCATTAATTAGTATTTCTCAGAAAGTTTCTGATTAGCCTCCCAGCTGTTTCCAACACTTCAGTCTGAAAACCCAATAAATACAAAAACAAGTTTTCACATTTTTAAAAGCTAATGGCTCACAGCTTCTAGCTTCTGCATAGGCCAAGATGACCAGAAATAAACTGGGCAAAAAAATGAGCAAGGAAAGCAAAGGCAAGTTCCATGAGGAACCACTTCAGAAACCACAAATGAGAAAAAACAAGATAAAAATTAAAGCACTGTAAAACTGTGCCCATCATCCTTCTTGATGAAGGACTGCTTTGTACTGTCACTACTACTTCTTTTAAGGTTAAAATGCTGTTAGTACCATATATATATATGTCCATATGATAGCTTCAGTGTGGCTACTAAAGGTAAAAATTAATCTGTGACCCAAAAAGTGTTTTGGACTCAGGTAATTCACTGGGAAGCAGACATGCTTACAGAACAAATGTAGGAAAACAAAACCCTGACAGAAGCTGTGAAAAATAACCCATGTGACATCATATTGCTCCTACAAAATGAAGCCTCTTTGTTAACTTTGCTCACAATATTGTAATTTGTAGTCAGGGCTGAGGGGGAAATGCACCACAAACATTCTCATTTTTTGGTCTAAAGCAAGGCCCATTCCCCGACCTCACCTTCTTTAATAAACACACAACAAGAGTCATATTTAAAATAACAAATGAACACAGCACTTCACTGCACACACTGCCATCCCTGGGGAGGGGAAGAGAGCACAAACAACGAGTGGCAGATGTTAATCACATAACTCAATGCTCTATTGGAAATGGGTCAGCAACAGCAATGAAGAGCAGCCCATTGGAACCAGGAAAGGCTGGAATAGAAGTGGAATAAACTATAAAGAGCTGTAGCACCACTGAAATGTGAGCAATGCATTTGGTTTGTTTCTGGTAGATGAGAAAGTTTGTTTGAATGTTTGTTTTCAGTGGAAGGTAACCTCTCTTATCTGGACAGCTCGAGTCAGAATCAATATTTAACTTTGGAGATGACAATTAACCAGACATATCTCACACGGAGATGTGGTCAAAATCAATTGGAGAGGGAAAGCAAATAAGAAATTAATTGATCTTTTTAATTGCATTTTTTCAAATAAATGCCCTAAATGCCCTTTGTGTGGTCATTTTCATAAAGTCACAGAGCAAAACCAGGCAGTTTCTTTTCACAGGGTAAGGAAAACCTTAACAAACAAACATCCAAGTTCTTGTAAGGACGAGTTACATGAGTCACAGATTCAGCATTGAGGAGGAGTTAAAAGCCTCCAACCCATTTACAACAGGGTATGAGGGTTCATCTTGTCGAAGGACCTGCTGCTTTAAACAGCTTTTCACCACCAGGGCAGCTGCTGGTCTTGCCCAGGGAAATCGGGGTGAGACTGATTCCAGCCTCAAGCCTGAAGAGGGGGATCTGAAAGGTGGGGAGATCTCCCCCAGGCGTGGGGAAGAGAGGAGCTGTGCCACAGTGGAACTTGTTCTGCTGGAAGAGCTCTTGCAGGAGGGTGCCCCATCAAACAAAGCTTGTTATATTGTCCAAGTATCAAAATAAAGCTTTTAGGGATGCCTTTACACTCAGCACTTTCTGTTTCATGGTCTGGAGTCACAAGTACTTTGCCTAAATGCAGGGTCACAGGTAGGGAACACGGAGACAACTTCATTTTGAAAGTGAGTCCCCAAGCTCTCCTGCCATGACATGGTTAATATTCACTACATAGCTGTTTATATCATTTAAATCTTTGGTGTATTTTATTTTGTATCACAGTGTTGGAGTAGATTGAAACGACTCATATTAGTCTTGGTAACTATTGAGAAAAATGTCAAAACAAAATGTGCTGGAATTCAAGAGGGATTATAAATACACAGAGGGATAAGATAGGAACTAGTTTAAGCTTTAACTATCATATGTCATAAGTTATTTTCTAGTGGGTTGGAAATATGCTACTTTTTTTTTTTCCTCTTCTTTTTTTAGTGCAGTATTGACACAAGGGAAATGTCAGAGTGTAGGAACAGCTCAGGTTGTTTAATGGCAGTTCTCTACAAGGTTCATAAGGGGAGGGAATGCAAGTAAAAAAAAACTAGTAAAAAGCCTGAACCCAAAACCTCAGATGATAACAGGCTGAATTCTGGAGAGCAGGTAGGAAATTTAAAACTAAATTTGTATCCAAGCACAGCACAGCACTACCACTGTGATCCTTCCTCAAAGGGAAGGATTTTTAATGCATTGTGTGCCAAATCCTTTATCTACCATATCAGTGCATGCAAGCTGGCACATGCCAAGCTCACAAGTTACTGAATTGCTTTAGTTCCAAACCTAAAATGTCTTTCTTGGGGTTGTGTGAGAAAGTGCCACGAGTGTTTGAGCTGATGCAGGTTTTTTCTGCTTGTATCCACCTAAACAAATCCCAGACAGAACCCAGCTCCCATGCAAACCTCCTGGAGTAAAAATCCCTGCAAAGATCTTTAATGGCTCCAGCACTTGGGGTTATGTGATGAGAGAGGCTGGGGCTCCTGCAATAAAGCACAGTAAAGTCTTGCCATAAAGCACATTTTCATGACGTCAGCAGGGTCATCTCATAAATCTCTTCCTCTAAAACATCAAAAAGAAAACCCCTGTAGGAGACTAATTGTGATTCTAGATGAGTAATTTGGAAGAGGGGGGTCTTAATGGTGAGCAAAACATTCCAAGAGATGACAATAGCCTCGATTCCCCCCTAAATTAATTGCCAGAAAAGACTCACCCAAGAAGAAACAACTTCTATTGTTATTTCACTCCATGCTAAAGAAGCAATTGAAGATGAAATCATGCAGATCTAAAAGACAACCAAAATTTTTACTGATTCAGATATCTCAGTTATATCCTCTGTCCTCTGTTTTCCCTGCTCTGGCATTCTTATCAGTGGTGTTGGAAGAACCTTCAATAAATGGTTTTCTGTCAAAAATCTCAAGCAGTTCAAGAAAAAACGCTCAGAGAAGAAATAATGCTCGAGGTTGGAGAGAGAAACATGAATGTGAGAGTTCAGCATGGAAATAAATGAGAAAAAACCTCAGAACAATCTGAGGTGACAGCAGGGCATTTATTCACAGGTCTTGACTCTGCATCAAGGAATCTTGGTGGGAGGGATTGATAAAGAAAGGGGCAAACTGAGCTGGGAATCATGAACTTGGTTGTGAAAACATGGAGTGGTTATGCTTGAGCACATTCAAATCTCTTCTGCTCTCCAAACAGCAAAAGATTTGTGGAAACAGTGGAAATATGTTTTTATTGAATGTGCCAATTCATAAGAACCCATGTGAAGCCCAGTTCCCCATTTCACATATTAACAGGCAATATTTCTACCATATCCTAAGCATTTTCTTTTTGCCTTAAATACCAGGTAGATTTTCTGACCACCTAATAACAATAACAAACACTCCCTGAGCTCTGTTTGGTGTTGTGAGCAATTCTCTTTCCCTTCTCTTATCACATCACCTTCTTTCTTCATATGTATGAAAATATTTGTCCTTAAGAATGATTTTCCAATTCTCCCTCAAAAAAGGAAAGATGCAGAGAATTGTCTGCAGCTCAGGTAGGTGAAATTGCTGTAACTTTAAACAAATCAGCTCCAGCACCATGGATGTGCTTGGCAGACAAGAATCATCAGTAGTGCCTGCACTTTCATCCTCACTCGAAGTTTTCAAATGGAGGGACCATTAAATAAAAATAATGCACTTGGTAAATATGCCTTCAAGATAAAAAAAAAAAAAATCTCAAAATACGTGGATGTCCTATGACAACAATGAATGCAACAGAAACTTACCTCGACAGCCTGGGGGACAGCACTGCTCCAGGGTTATGGAGGCATCTCAATTAGCAATTTAACACATCCTAAGGCAACAGGATTTTGGAAATAAAGATACAAACACAGGACTTCACCATTCTGTCTAATTTCCTGAAACAAGCCATCAGTTGTTTACTGAGCTTGTCAAGTTTCCATTCTCATAAAATGAAGCTTCCACAAGTTTTTCTTCATAATTCCAAACACCATAGAAACACAGAGCAGCCTTTAGGAAAAAGTGACAACTGGATCCCATCAGGTTTATGATCACCACCAACCCCCCAGACTGCTTGCTTTATCTTGATCTTGTTTTCTCCAAAAAGAACATTTTTTGTAGTATTTTTGCTCTTTCCTCCATGACTACATGCTCTGAGGACAGAAACTCCTCTACTGAGTCTAGAACACATCCCAGTATGTCACTTAATAGCTGTAAAATCTATTTATATCAATCTCACTTCTGTGACAAATCCCAGTGGTTGCTGTAGGTCTGTCAGTATAACTGCAAACTGAATATGCTGCCAAGTCACACCATACTCTGAGTTCTACAAAAGATTATTTCTTGACCAGTTTCCTATACTGTAGGTGCTCTTCACTTGCTCATACTGTGTTTTAATTCAGGAAAAACCCCTGATGCAAGTCACTGAGTCAAATTCTCAGAAGAAATGAAAGGCTAGCAGCACTGCCCTGCAAGGACACACACTGTGCTCACTGTGTCTCCCAAAGGACACCTCGGGCTTGCATGGCCTTTGCTCCATTCAGTTCTGAAATTTGTCTTGAATCCTGAGCAGCAGAGTTCTTGTTCAGTTTCCACATCACTGTCCAACTTCTGTTTATCTGGAAACCACCTCGTTTTGCTGTTTTCTGAAAGGTATTGGGTCCCAACTCCTCGGAATTACTAATGAGAGAGAGAGTTATTAGTGAAACATGGCTTATCAATTAAAATAATGCATAATTTGGTTTTACATTTTTCATGAACTCAGTAATGAAAAATGATACAATACCAGTTTAACATGTACTGTTTGGCTAACTCTGCTGCTGACCTTTTATCTTCTCTTCTGCAGGGAGACTTTGCTGACCATCTCCATGGAGAAACTGAAGGACAGAGATAATAATCACATAACTGAAAGGCAAATGTCTCGACTTTGGCCCCAATTTGTTTTATTTTAATACAGTTATTGCATAATTGCTTGCAAGTATCTTTTCATTTCTCACAGCTCTAAGATTTATATCACCCTGGTTAGCTGGCATTCACGAGATACACAATGCTCATAAAAACTGATAACAACATGAACAAAAAAAAATGCTGGAGGGAAAGATGATTTGATATCTGAAACTATTGATTTATATCTCTGCAGTAATATTCAAGAAACATGCAAAGGAAAGGGCAGGTTTCTTTCTAAAGCAGCACTGGTTTCTGTGAGGGGATTCAGAGCTCCTCTGTCCCCCAGCTCCCAGGGGGCTCCTTACAGGAATCCCGAGTGGGGAGAGCAGAGCCTGGTGATGCTGATCAAAGTGTTCTCTGTCTCCCGTGCACATACAAGGTGTTTGCTGCCCTTCTTCCCCTCTAGCTGCTGATTTCAAAGCCCTGGCTGCTTTCCAGCTCGTGCAGAAGTACCAGCCCCTCCTTTGGATGTTAGGCACGGCCTGAGTGCACCTTGGGCTCTCCCAGAGCATCTGGATGCCTGAGGCTTTCTGAGCAAATCCTTCTGTGTCTGAATTGTACCAAACTGTTCTGCAGGTAAGACTGCAAATAAACACCTTGGATCCTTTGGCACCAGCAATGGCAAAGTGTGCTCCACTGCCTTGTGGAATTTCTCCACAAGGGGCTTGTGATCAAATTCTGTAACTATCATGTGCAAAGTAAAACCATTAAACATTATTTTAGACTGATGCCAGAAGATTCCAGCTTTCACCCATGTCCATTTATGATGTAATTTATCGAGGTGAAAGCCATCGAGGTGAAATTAATTTTAGAAAAAGTCTCATAAAGTTACATGACGGCAATAAAATAAAAGAAAAATGTGCCATAATTGAGAAACTCTGCTCGAATATTAAGAACCCCAGAGTGGGGAAATCCGAGATGCACCTGCCACAGCTGCAGGAGCTCAGCTCTGTCCCACTGATTTACCTGTGCTGCATTCTCCAGCTCTGTCTGTGGCAGTCAGGTCCCCACTGGTATCAATGAACCCGTTCCCCTGAAGCCCCTGACAAGCTGAGTGAGCCCAGTGAATGTTTGCTCTGCCCCCTCTCCTGTCCTGCAGCAATTGCAAGGCCAGCTGAGGGCTCCTGGGGACAGCTGATGGCTCCTGGGGACAGGGTGATGGCTCCTGGGGACAGCTGATGGCTCCTGGGGACAGGGTGATGGCTCCTGGGACCAGCTGATGGCTCCTGGGGACAGCTGAGGGCTCCTGGGGACAGCTGATGGCTCCTGGGGACAGGGTGATGGCTCCTGGGGACAGCTGATGGCTCCTGGGGACAGGGTGATGGCTCCTGGGGACAGCTGATGGCTCCTGGGGACAGCTGAGGGCTCCTGGGACCAGCTGATGGCTCCTGGGGACAGCTGATGGCTCCTGGGGACAGCTGATGGCTCCTGGGGACAGGGTGATGGCTCCTGGGACCAGCTGCCTTTGTGCCTTCAGCTTCCAGCCCTGCTGGGGGCTCTGCCATGGAGGCAATGGAGCAATTTTGGAATTCTTGGCAGGGGAATTGAGGCAATTTGTGGCCCAGGTCTGTGCTCAGACCCAAGAGAATTCTCTGCTCTCCCATGGAGACTGGAGGAGTCCCCATCAGAGAGCAAAGGCCCTGCAAGAATAAACAAATAAACAAACAAACAAATAAACAAACAAATAAACGAATAAACGAATAAACGAATAAACAAATAAACAAACAAACAAATAAACAAACAAATAAACGAATAAACGAATAAACAAATAAACAAATAAACAAATAAACATGACACCCCCCAGTCCCCTCCAGCTCTGTTTGCTGCTGCTCACAGAAACAAATGGCTGCAGGGAAAGTGAAGCCACCTTTGCCATTTACAGAGTGCAGCTCCATAAATGCAGTCAGAGCCATTTGTAATGCACAAGCTGTTTTGGGTAATGAATCATTAATTGACAAAGTAAACACAGCATTATTATAAGTATGCTGGAAATGTTTTTGCTCATGTTCAGCATCCTTTGGGAACTTCTTGTACTTTGCTCAAGATTGCATCTCAGGAGGATTTCCCCCCCCCCCTTACAAAAAAAATTGGAAAAAACCAGTCATTTCTTTTGAAAGCTACACTTTATTGTGTAGCTGCTAGGAAGGAGAATGATGTCCGTCCCTTTTCCTCCTGTCCCGTTTCTGTCACCTAAAGAGCAAACAGCAGCATCAGAAAGGAGAAACGCGAGCGGAATTCATTCCTCCCGTGGGAGTCACGGCCATGGGCAGGGCTGGCTGGAGCTCTCATCCCGCCCGTGCCACCGGGACGGGGACTGAGGGGGCTGAGCTGCCATTGGGGACACCCAAAGCCGGCTCCTGTCACTGCTGTCACACCGGCTCCGCTTCCCACGCCGCCTTTTCTTGTCCAAACACCCTTAGAGACGCGAATGTCCATCCCAGTCACCCTCCGTGCTCCGCCGGCACCGAGGGAACTTCACACGTGCGACAAATCAGAGAAAAGGAAAATTAAAAGTGCCCAGGATGGGAGTGAGCAACCTGCTCATGGTGACACTTCTGTCACCGCCACCCTTCCCCAGGGCTTCTGCCACACCCAGCCTGTGTCTCTGCAGACATGTCGTGACACATGTGACACCTATCGTGACACATGT